AGGCGTGCAAGTGATTTCTGAATTGCGTGAGTCCAGATCACCATGCAAGCAAATATGCTAGAGTGTAAAACAACAGCAACAACTTGCATAGTTGTCGGACGAAGCGTGTTCGCCCACTGCTGGGCCCCGTGACCATTACTACAGATCGATCGGGCTCGAAAGATGCCGCGGAAAGATGGGGTCTCGGGCTCTGGTTGTGATTCTGTATGATGTTGCAACTCGTTCGCAACGTCGTATCCCATGCCATGATACTTAGATCACAAGGGGGTTTGCTAAGTGGATACGGGGGCCACAAATGGATGCGAGGGTGGTGTGCATCTGGCCCGACAAGGTGGGTCAGGGGAGGTGTAGGGCGAGGATGGCGTCCTGTAAAGATTGGCTCAGGATCCGTTCTAGGATTCTGGAGTACGATCGCGAACTTTTGCTCAGCATGTCGCGGCGGCCGCCCTGGCGACACACTATGCCGTGCACAGTTGGTCGTGATGGCCATCGTCATCAGAATCCTCATCATCATTCTCGTCTCATCGCCATCGCCATCGTCAGCGCCACCGTCAGTTCACGTGCTCCGGAGAGGCGTTTCAGGAGCACGATACATTGAGGCTGTCGGGCATGTCCATCATCATCAGCAGCATCATCATCATCACCACAATCATCATCATGATCATCATCATCAGCATCATCACCATCATCATCATCATCAGCAGCATCAGCATCATCAGCAGCAGCATCATCAGCATCATCATTATCATTATCGTAATCATCATCGTCGCCATCATTGTCATCATCGTCATCGTCATCATCGTCATCGTTATCGTCATCTGCATCATCATCATCAGCAGCAGCAGCATCATCAGCAGCAGCAGTAGCAGCATCATCATCATCAGCATCATCATCGTCGTCATCATCAACATCATCAGCAGCATCACAATCATCATCATTACGGTCATCGTCATCGCCATCATGGTCGAAGTCCTTTTCGTCTGTCATGAAACTGTTTTGGGCCGTCATGGGTGCTTTGGGTGTGAGTGGGTTTTCATCGGGGTGTCCTGAGGCTTGTGGGAGCTGTCTGGGGATCCTCTGGGGTTGCCTCGGGGCTCTCTGCGGTCGTCTTGAGGCGCTCTTGGGAAGGTTGCAGGGGGCCTCTTTCAGGTCATCTGCTCTTGGGGGGCCCTCTTGAGGCCATCTGGGGCTCTTGTCGGGCCGTGTGAGAGCCTCCTGGGCCGTCTAAGCGAAGCGGGAGGCGTCTTTGGCCGTTCTGGAGTACATCGGAGCTGGACACGCGCACGCGCGAAAATACTGTAACAAACCCTTGTGAAATGCATGGAATGCGGCCCTGGGGGCCCTCTTGGGCAGATTTTTGGCGGCTTCGGGGGGCGTCTTGGAGGCATCTAGGGCTGTCTGGAGGCAGTCCTGGGCGTCTTGGGTCGCCATTTTGGCAAGAAGGAGCTCCCTGGATCGTGTTGGGCAGGTCTGAGGGTGCTGGTTGGCGGCTTCGCGGGAACTCTCTGGGAGCCCTCTGAGGCTGTTTCTGGGCCGTGTTGGGAGGTTCCTGGGCCGTCTCGGAGCGAACTCGGGCGTCTGGGGCCGTTTCGGCTTGCACCGGTACTGGGCACGAGCACTCGCTAAAATCCGTGAAAAAGCTTCGCAAAATACACGGAATTCGGACCTGCGGGCCCTCTTGGGCAAGTTTTCAGTGGCTTCTTGGAGCGTCTTGGAGGCCTCCTGGGCTGTATGGACGATGTCTTGGGAGTCTTGGGTCGCTGCAGTGTCAAGTCGGGCCTGTCCCCCTACAGGGGGATTTTCGACGAAAAATAAAAATACCCCCAAAATAATCAAAAAATAATACAAAAATAGTCTGGGGACTATGTTTTGAATATTTGTTTGACCCTTTTGGGGTACTTTTGGGGTACTCTATACATTTTTCCTCAAAAGGGTTCCCCTGTAGGGGGACACGCCCGACTTCGCTGCAGTGGTGAGCGGGGGCGGCTCTGGGCTCCTCGGGGAGAGCTCCTGGAGGCCCCGGGCGCCCATGGCGACGCGAGGCAGCTGGCAGGGGGTCCCTCGGGGACGGCTCCCCGAGGCCCATGGCAGCCGTGGCGACGCGAGGCAGCTGGCAAGCCTCCCCCCCTGCAGCTAGGTACTTATGATATTACTTCTACTATTACCATCATTATCATTAGTATCATTCTTATTATCATTAGCATTATTTTCTTAATATCATGATTATGTATTATAATGTATTACGTATTGTTGTTATTGGTATTACTATCATTATGATTATGCGTAGTACTATTATCATTATTACTCATAATAATATTATTATTGTAACTATTATTTTCTGATTGATTTACGTGTTGATTGATTGATGTAATACTATTGTTTTGACATATATATATATATAGATATATATATATATATATATATATATATGTATGTATGTATGTATGTATGTATGTATGCATGCACGCATGCATGCATGCATGTATGTATGTATGTATGTATGTATGTATGTATGTGTGTGTGTGTGTATGTATGTATGTATGTATGCATGTACACACCATTGTGAACCCGTAGATTAAATCCACGGAGCTGCGTAAGTCGAAGCTTGCCGACGCGCACTTCTGTCTCTGGTGTGCAAATGCCCGCAAGCTGCGGTGCACCATTGACAACCAACGTGAAATCGACGATGTTCGCCTCTTCAGGCCCTCTTGGGGGTCTTCCTGGGGCTCTTTTGGAGCGTCGTGGGCCATCTGGGGCCGTTTTGACAGCATCTTAGGCAGTCTTGGGGCCCTCGTGGGCAGACTCGTGGCCCTCTTGGCCTGTCTCGGGGGCTTATTGGTCCATCTTGGGGGCCTCTTGGGGGTTTACTGGGCCGTCTTGGTGACATCCTGGGCCCTCCTTGGGCCCCTCCTGGGCTGTTTTGGGGCTCTCTTGGGCGCCTCTTGGGCCGTGTCGGGGCGATCCTGAAGGGCTCTTGGGCCGTCTTGGGGGTCCAGACGGTCGAGAGCGCGAGAATCCCAGAATCCATAG